TGGTGACGGTGGGTGGTGGTGACGGTGGGTGGTGGTGACGGAGGGTGGTGGTGACGGAGGGTGGTGGTGACGGTGGGTGGTGGTGACGGTGGGTGGTGGTGACGGAGGGTGGTGGTGACGGAGGGTGGTGGTGACGGTGGTGGTGGTGACGGTGGGTGGTGGTGACGGTGGGTGGTGGTGACGGTGGGTGGTGGTGACGGTGCTGGTGGTGGTGACGGTGGGTGGTAGTGACGGTGGGTGGTGGTGACGGAGGGTGGTGGTGACGGAGGGTGGTGGTGACTGAGGGTGGTGGTGACGGAGGGTGGTGGTGACGGAGGGTGGTGGTGACTGAGGTGGTGGTGAGGGTGGTGGTGACGTGGTGGGTGGTGGTGACGGTGGGTGGTGGTGACGGTGGGTGGTGGTGACGGTGGGTGGTGGTGACGGTGGGTGGTGGTGACTGAGGGTGGTGGTGACGGAGGGTGGTGGTGACGGTGGGTGGTGGTGACGGAGGGTGGTGGTGACTGAGAGTGGTGGTGACGGTGGGTGGTGGTGACGGAGGGTGGTGGTGACGGAGGGTGGTGGTGACGGAGGGTGGTGGTGACGGTGGGTAGTGGTGACGGTGGGTGGTGGTGACGTGTGGGTGGTGGTGACGGAGGGTGGTGGTGACGGAGGGTGGTGGTGACTGAGGGTGGTGGTGACTGAGGGTGGTGGTGACGGAGGGTGGTGGTGACGGAGGGTGGTGGTGACGGAGGGTGGTGGTGACTGAGGGTGGTGGTGACTGAGGGTGGTGGTGACGGTGGGTGGTGGTGACGGAGGGTGGTGGTGACGGAGGGTGGTGGTGACGGAGGGTGGTGGTGACTGAGGGTGGTGGTGACGGAGGGTGGTGGTGACGGAGGGTGGTGGTGACGGAGGGTGGTGGTGACGGTGGGTGGTGGTGACGGTGGGTGGTGGTGACGGTGGGTGGTGGTGACGGTGGGTGGTGGTGACTGAGGGTGGTGGTGACGGAGGGTGGTGGTGACGGTGGGTGGTGGTGACGGAGGGTGGTGGTGACGGAGGGTGGTGGTGACTGAGGGTGGTGGTGACGGTGGGTGGTGGTGACGGTGGGTGGGTGTGACGGAGCCATCATCCGTCTAATGTTGGCTTCTGGAGACAGATTCAGTGCAATGAGTACTTTTTCTTAGTCCTTAGACCCCGAGTACTTTTCTTGGTCCTATTCCAGTAAGGTTTCCCGCCCATTTGACGCCCCGTTCAGTCTCCTGTTCCCAACGTCAAGTTTCGTTATTTTGTACTTGTTTGAATTCAACTCAGCAACTATGTTAGCAATATATTATTTTACATTGACGGTTGGACTCTTTGCTAATAATCCCAAAACTTTCAACATTGGTTTTCACAAGATAACAGTCGAGTTAGTAATTATAGTTTAAAGTCACAGTCTGTTCATTCACTGTATGTTATTTATCTACTGGAAATTAAATATGGATACATTGCAAGCATTTCATATATTTTATATATATATATATATATATATATATATATATATATATATATATATATATATATATATATATATATATATATATATATATATATATATATATATAATAAAATAATTTGCCATTTCATGCAACGTAAGTTTAGTTATATTTGTAAATGGCAAACTTTTACAGTGTAAAATATAATGCTCTGTTGTGTGTCCCTCTCTGTGTCCACACACTTCCCTTCCATATATGTATATGTATAAAGTATATGTGGAAACTGATCAGAATTACATTTCGCCTTTGTAAATGCACATTAATGATACCACGTAAAGAATACATCGACCACTTTATGTAGGGCAGACGTAACTCTGTATATCTATGTATTTATGTCTGTAGGTTAGATTAGCATTTTAAAAGCACCATAATCGCCTACCGTGGTTGATTGTTCAATAAACCCCTGAACTATATGTTTAACACATCTCTCATCCTGTCCATGGAGGACAGAAGAAAATGTATATATGCTGGTTAGCATTGTTAATGTGTGGCCACGTCTGTGGTAGAAAATAATAATAATAATAATAAAACTTCCCTTCCTCTTCTCCCCATACACGCCTGACTGCCACATATAATAATTGATAATAATAATAATAATAATAATAATAATAATAATATAATAATAATAATAATAATAATAATAATAATAATAATTCATTGTGTCGAAGGACAGGCAGCTTGTGTGTGTGTATATATATATATATATATATATATATATATATATATATATATATATATATATATATATATATATATATATATATATATATATATACACTAGTAGCATATACACTTATAATAACGAAGTGAAAAATCGTACATATATTGATGTAATGGACAATTGGAAAGTAATATTTGGTGTTATTGAATTTAGACAAACCGTAGAAGGTTTTGTATCTATGTTGCTAATAAAACCTATTCTAACCTAATCTTCCTAGGTCTAATACACGCAACCTGAGGCCTAGTATAGTACACATATGTGCTATACTAAGGTTAGGGATATTTAAATTTGGTTTTTAGCTTTATTTCCGGACTCTAATAAAGTGAATAGAACCAAATTGTATCTAATTCTCTATTACGTCAATATATATACGATGGTCCACACAGTTACAGAAAGTACAGTCTAGACAGGAAGATGGGCTGTAATTCGGCACTGGAAAGTAACTGTGGCGCCTCTCTTCACTGGAGACCTTAAGCACGGGCACATTTGCTTAATGGTTACTCCAAGACTGTTACCATAGTAGGAGCAGACATTCTTGAGAAAATGTATTGAGAAGGTGACAAAGCGTTACAAACATTCCTTACGAAGTGAGATTAAAAAATCTTAATTCACATGGTATAAAAATGCGAAGAGTAAGAAGGTTACTAAGTACAGTGTAGTATACAAATGGATGAAAGGGTATAACAAATATATATTTATAATAAATGGTAAACACAATGCAAAACAGGTCACAAATTTAATAAGTTTAGAGTTAGGAAACACCTTAGTAAATAATAGTTTGGAAATAAGATTGTTGGTTTATGGATCACATTACCTGGTAAAATAATAGACGTCGTCGGAGAGAGGAAACCTGTATTTAGGCTTGCAGCCTTCCGCCATGCGCCTTGCAAGTTAAACTGTTGGCTATTCTTGTAGCATTCGTAGTTACTGAAAACATTGCAGCAGACAGCCTAACTATATCCGGCTCCCTCTACTCATTACAGGCATTAATAGCCTAAGGTTAAACTGTAAGGTGTTTGTCTGTGAAGCCAGACACATGCTCATGCTTACCACGGGAGTTGTTGTGGGTCACTTCTCACACAGGGCTGCACCATCATCATAATGTGGACACTCTTGCTTAGCCTGCAGTACGCAAACACAATGTTGAACATAATCTTGGGCTATCAAATACAACTGTAAAGAGTGTCATTAAACGAGAACCATTTATGAATTCGAAGACAGAAGAGTGCAAACAGGAACTAGCAGATCCATTGTTTATTACAATGAATTGTCTCAAACACAACACTGGTATGAGGCAAGTGACAAAGTCATCACCCAGGTGATGTCACAGCTTGAATACCACTTGACTACAAGTAGTACAGTCGGGTTTGTTTTCGATTCACAATCGAGAATTCCGATCCCTCCCTTTCCACCCAAGAAGCAAATTAGAGATCAGCCCAAGCTTCGTCTTGAGGCAAAGCTCAACGCCTTAAGCCATATTGATGCTCTGTCCACAGAGCATTCTCTCTCTCAAATTATATACACTGATGGTTCCCTACACCGCACCACGGGTGCAGCTGGAAGTGCAGTTGTCCTGACAATGGGCGATGGCCTATACTTTGAGTGGGGAGTCCGTATAAACAACTGGGCCTCTACCCTTCAGACTAAACTATTTGCCTTGATCCTTGCACTGAAATGTGTACAAGTCTCAAAACTTGATACATTAATTGTAAGTGACTCCTTATCATCCTTAAATGCTCTCAACTCTTTAAGACATAACTGTAACATGCTCGTGTCCGAAGCTAGACACAAATACAACAAAATTATTAAGGATGGTAACAGAGTCCATTTCATGTGGTCTCCATCTCATGTTGGCCTCCGAATGCATGACAGAGCTGATAAGTTAGCCAAAGAATCTGCCTTTAAAGGAGCCGTTGAGTGTAACCTTGGATTGTCAATGAGCAATCTGAGAGCAGCAGTACACCGAGAACTTCAACAAGATCTTGTAGATCTGAGGCAAAGTGAAATTGACACCAGTAATTCCATCTATCATCATACTATCATGCAAGAGGAGCCACACATCTATGGATCATCCAATAAAATCAGCAGACTTCTAGATGTTACTACTGCTCGGCTTAGACTCTGTTACAAGTATCTCTGGGAATTCTCATTATCTGCTGATGTAGACCTGACCAAATGTAAACTGTGTCAACAAAATTATTCGCACACCCTCCGTCACTATGTGATGGAGTGCGAAAAGATACGTGAATTTAGAGACAATTCTATAACCAATGTTCCAGCGATGTGTCAATATTTCATTCAAAATGATCTGCTACCAGAAATTTTAGCCAAATATCCCCAGTTTGCTAACTGTAGGTAGTAACTAAGCGATTGTAACCTATCCACCGCTGCCCACTGGATGGGGGGCGGTGTGCAGGACAAACATATCAATTTTGACACTAGCTCTCCACATATGTCAGTTGCTTAATTTAGAACCTGTACTTGTGGTCGATCTCGAACCCATTGTTGATGTGATGACTTATATTGAATTTTGTAACTAGCTCATCAAGATTGTAACTTGCTTAGCTAAATGAATTGTGGGGTTCAGTCCCTGAGCCCATTATGTGCCCCTAACTTTTTCCACTACCGCCCACAGGGCAGGTATGAAGTGCAGAATAAATGAACTAAAAAAATCACAGTACCAGACCCCGTGCCTAAAGCCCAAGTTAATTTAAGCTCAGCTTTCGTGTTGATATAATGAAGGTTGAAAGTTTGTTTTATAATGACAGACAGTATCGCTGGTGCTGGTGGTGGCGACCAGCAGCTGGGTCATGTCCCAGAGACCCAACCACCCAGTTTTCTTGCCCGGCACCCGCTCCAGCACCGACTCCAGCATCACTTTTCTTGAGGTAACCCTCCTGTTGTTCTTTATATTGATTTAAGCCATTCTACAGGAATTTCATAAAGTTTATTACTGATCGCAATCTGGAAAACGCAATAAATTCATGTAATGTAAGATTCCGTGATGCATTTCATATATTAAAAAAAATTAAATTAAATATTTTATTCAGGAAAAGTACATACATAGTTGATTTACAAACATAATGTTGGATTTATAGATAGAGCTAGTACATACAATATCTAAAGCCACACTAATACGCATAGCGTTTCGGGCAAGTTGTGGGGAAAAAACAACTTAGACCAAAACTTAATAGTAATTGGGATTAGGTGTAACTGTGTTGAAAAAAGGAATAAAAAATAAAAAATGGGGGGAACATGGCAGAAATCAGCAATTGAACAAGTTGGTGAACAAACACCATTGTTTAAAAATAGCACAAGACATGACTTGACATTTACGGGGTAAGGTAGGTTACATGGCGTTAATTAGGTAGTAATTAGTTTTACTCTTAAACTGGTTGAGAGAGGTACAACCTTTAACATGATTGGGAAGGTCATTCCACATTCTGGGTCCCTTGATTTATAGAGCATTTCTAGTTTGGTTAAGTCGCACTCTTGGGATATCAAATAGGTATTTGTTTCTGGGTGTGATGCCCATGAGTTCTGTTATAACCATCTCGGAAGCTTCTAAGGTTAGGATTAACATTGCAGTTCACTGTTTTAAATACATAGAGTACACATGAGAGGATGTGCAGTGACAATATCAAACATATTCAAAGATTTGTTTAAGGGTACCGAGTGCTGTTTGGGGCCAGAGTTAGATATTGTTCTAATAGCAGCTTTGTGTTGAATAATTAGAGGACGTAAATGATTTTGTGTACTAGAACCCCCAAGCACAGATACCATAATTGAGATAAGGATAGATGAGAGAGTAATAGAGCATCACCAGGGCAGGGCGAGGTACATAATATCTCATCTTAGAAAGAATACCAACAGTTTTAGAAACTTTTTTTTATATATTTAGAATGTGTCCCTGGAAATTCAGCTTGTTATCGATGAGAACACCAAGGAATTTGCCATCTATTTTGTTACTAATTTGGATATTGTTTATTCTTAGATTAATTTGATTAGAGGATATATTGCCAAACAACATATAGAAAGTTTTGTCAATGTTAAGGGTGAGTTTGTTGGCAGTTAGCCAAAGATGGGCTTTATTTAGTTCAGTATTCACTGTGACATTTAGAGTAAGATGGTCAGGACTGGAGAAAATGAAGGTTGTATCGTCAGCAAATAGAATTGGTTTGAGGTGTTGAGAGGCATTTGGAAGGTCATTAATGTAGATGAGAAAGAGGAGAGGACCAAGTATGCTGCCCTGAAGAACACCAATGTTTATGGGTAGTGTAGGAGAAATTGAATTATTCACAAAAACATACTGGAGCCTGTCAGTAAGGTAAGACTGAAGATATTGGAAGGAGTGACCTCTGACTCCACAATGATGTAATTTAAGAAGAAGGTTATGGTGGTTAACAGTGTCAAAAGTCTTACGTAGGTCAAGAAATAACCCAACAGGGAACTCATTTTTATCAAGAGCTGCATGTATCAAGTTATACTATCTATAAATTCTATAAACTCTATCTATAAATTCATCAATTTTTGTATCACCCCTTGTATGTATGTATTTTACCTAAATAAACATTTGAATTTGAATTTTGAATACTAATAAGTGCATCGTTAGTGCTTTTTTTGGGGTCTGAAGCCATATTGGCAAGAGCTAAGTATATCGTGTTTAGCTAGATAAGAGTAAAGCTGCTTGTAGATTAATTTTTCAAATATTTTTGACAAGTTTGGCAGAATTGATATAGGTCTGAAGTTGTTGACATCAGTGAGATCACCACATTTATGGACTGGGTTACTCTCGTTTTTTTTTAGAATATCTGGAAAGGTTTGGAGTTCAAGTGACTCGTTGTAGAGCAATGCAATAGCAGGAGCTAAAAGTCTGGAGGCTTTTTTGTAAATTAGAGTTGGTATCTCCGCAAGGGCACTAGACTTTGTTTTAAGGGAAAGGATTATCTCATTAACATCAGTGGAATTAGCGGGCGTTAGGTACAGAGACTGTGGATAGTTACCTGTAAGGTAGTCCTGAACATTAGTACGGGAGGATGGAATATCATTAGCAAGGGATGACCCAATGGATGAGAAGAACCTATTGAATTCAATAGCAGTATCAGAGGCTGAAAGCAAACCATCGTTATTGGACTGGAGTATTGGATTTTTATTTAAAATCTTTTTTGATCCCAATATTTGTGAAATAGTGTTCCATGTAGGCCTGGTCGAAGACCGGGCCGCGGGGACACTAAAGCCCCGAAATCATCTCAAGATAACCTCAAGATATGTCTTCTTAATATTGCCCTTATTTGGGTAAATTTATATTCATAGCATTAAATTTTGGCTGTCCTAATTATTTTAGAGAGCACTGATGAGTAATTTTTTGAAAATTCTTTGGAGATGATTCCTAACCCATACTTCTTCTCAAGGTCATGTTTTTTATTAATAGATTTAAGTAAACCTTTGTAAACCATGGATTGTTTAGCCTTTTAGTTGTGACTTGTTTCGTTAGCATGTGGGTGGGTGTAACACAGTGGGTGTTATAAAGGCCGAGGGTTTTTTTGAAGAAATGATTGCACTATTAGGTTGACGTTCCCAATGTTACCTAATTCGGACTCCCAGTTGATATTAGCAGCAGCTATAAAATTATAAGAGTTTTTATTCTAGAACTATATATGGAGTTCTATTCTTAAAGCTTACATAAATAAACTAAAATCAAACAAAACAATTTCAGTCACAATCCTTAATCATCACTTTGTAAACTTAAGTCATATGAGAACTGATAGCAAAACTGTCGCATAAACTCTTACATTAAACAGAATCCGGGTAACCCAGTTACAAGCAAGCTTCGCACAAAGGAGAAGCCAAAGTGCTCACTGGATACAGCTCCCATTGATGGTGAACCTTGCAACGAAGATCCGGAATACGACAACATGGTTAAGTAAGTTATTACATTATATATTTAAATATTTATAATTAAAATCTTTATGTATTTAAATATTGATATGTACAATGGATTATTTTTGTGTACTTTTCATGTGTAAAGATGCATTTTTACAAAGCCAATATTAACACGCATATTCCGGGCAGGTTTTAAATGTAACAGTTAAAAGTAGTTGAGGTATTCATTTAGAAACTTGAGTGAAAATGGAAGGGTCGGTCTTGTGCTCACCACGGAGCACAACGCCATACGGGACAGAGAAACGAAGAGAAGAAAAGACTAGGCGGCAATACTCCATACAGGCACCTACGCATTCAAGACATTAACCTTCAGTGGGTTACACAATATCAATATCTCGGAGTGTGGATAGATTTTAAAATGACATTCAATAAGCAAATTCAATATCTAAAGGAGAAAGCAAAATCACGACTAAATATAATGAGAGCAATCACAAGGCCCCGTCTAGGAGCGGGACACAAAGTGTTAAGAATGTTTTACACACACGCCGTTCGTTCCCTAGTTGATTATGCAGCGCCTGCCTTACTCACTCTTTCTCCTGGCCAGTGGGCAAACGTTGAGGTTCTTCAAAATGATGCATTGTGAATCATAACAGGAGCTCCCAGATGGACTAAAATACTGAACCTAAGACTAGAAACAAAGCTAACGTCGATTGAAATAAGGGTAAAAGGGATTACTGCGTGCATGCTGACCAAGATATTGACTAGACCTAGAATCAGTTCACTTAAAGATATAATCACTGGAGCACTAACTCTGGACAGAAGAGCCTCCAATAGCAACAGGTGGACCCATTGTGCGATAAACACCATCAATACATTCGATATAACAAACACAGTCACTGAGAGGGGTGTCGACGAAATACATGCAGACTTTGTTAAGCAAGCCCCTTGGGAATCTCTGCCAGCAGACTTTAAGATTATGGCTCTTGAAGGAAAGAAGAACCAGACAAATCCTCATCTGCTACGTAACATTGCACAGATGCATATAGAAGCAAACATGGCATCCGACAGCTTCACTTACTTCACAGATGGATCAGTAGACCAGCAGGGACAAGAAACTGGAGCTGCAGTTAAAGCAGGAAACTCTGTAAATAGTTGGAGGCTCTCAAATGGGTGATCGACTTTACAAACAGAGATGCTAGCCATTCAAAAGGCTTTGGAACATGCTCTTGCTGAACACCGACAACATGTTATCATACATACAGATTCGAGAACCGCCATTGAAACCTTGCAACAAGAACACATATGTGATAACATCCATCTGATCACAAATGTCATATCATTCATGCAAACACTCAAACGACAAGGCCGTCGGGTACTTATCAACTGGGTGCCAAGTCATGTGGGAATAATAGGAAATGGCATTGCAGACGAAGCTGTAAAACTTGCTACTAAGAGGAGAAATGTAGACATTTACATACCACAGAGTCTATCACAGATTAATAAAGTAATTAGAAACAGAGCAATGCAAAAGATGTACAGTGACCATAACACAGCAGTTACAACATCAGGATCTGCGGGTTGGTACAAGAATTCAACCAACTACGAACCACTTAGTTTGATGAAAGGGAACAGTAGAGCAACAGAAGTGCATTTACATCGCATCAGGCTTGGATACCCATGTGCATGGGAAATAGGCTTACAGGTTCCGGAAGATGAGAGGAAATGTCAACACTGTGGAGAAATGCCCGACAGACCACTGGAACATTATCTAACACAGTGCACAGTTACAAACCCATTAAGATTTCAACTTAGATTCAACAGAGCAGAAGAAGTTGTTAAACACATATGGCAAAATCTTACTGAAGCGACCATACGAGTCATAAATACTCATACTCCGCCCAAGTAAAACAGAAACAAGCAACACTTAGTGGGCCAGCCAGAGGCTTAGGGCCCGCGCAGGAATATCCCTGCAAAAAAAAAAATAAAAAAAAAATCATAAGATCTGTCACCTGAACCATATACTGTTGCTAACAGATCTAGACTCTTAAGATCTGCAGATAGCCTAAAACCATCGAAAAACTCCCCTGGAATGATCTTCTGAAATAGGCTGAGGTGAGGGGGGGGGGGGGAGGGGAGAACATGACTTGGACAACAAACCGGAAACGAAGGTTGAACCAGGCAATAAGAAGGCAGAAAGACCACACCTGTCAGAAAACGTCTTCAGTCTGGAAAAAGCCAAACTAGAGGGAAGAGATGAAGAAAATATACCGACTTCAATCCAAATTAAAAGCTTTCTGCACAAAATGTAAGAAGGGTGGTAAGGAAATGTTACTGATTAAATAGGTGAATAAATCGGAAGGTGATTTTCGCCATTTTTACCACCATTGTACCGCCCAAAATGGCATTTTGATAATGACTTTTACTTGCACAAATAAAGAAAAAGTTCTTAAGACAGAGACGTAAGGCTTCTGCAAATCTGTTGAGTCATAAATCATGTCTCTAGCACCAGCGGTGCTAGAGACGTGATTCACACTATCACAATGTGATAGTGTGATCGATGAATCGATTCAGTAGAATCCCAGGTTGTACAACATCCACAGGTTAGGGTTGTACAGTAGTAGAGCTTGCGGCTGGCACTCTGCTGGTCGCAAGTTCGAGTCACCTAAGAGCTCAAGTTGATTTGTACGTATCATATTTGTGGTGCAGAACCTCCTTCAATATTTCGAAGGAAGTTCTGCTCCAAAAATATTTCAATATTTTATGTATACAGTTTACACATTAGTGAATTCAAAATACTGTATTGATTATAGTTAAAATATACTGGTGAGCATAATGATTATAAAAAGTCTTTACTTTTGTGAATTTCAGTTTAATCAAAGCAAAATCATCTAGCAGTCATTGGTAGCTCATGATGCATTAACGATCAAGGTGTATGTACGGAAGGCATACATACTGACGGCAATATTTAACACGAGTGTACATTTCAGACAGCACGTGGCATTTCTCTTAAGTAGGAACGAAAGACTCCGCGGGCTAGTGAATGACCCTAGCCTCAGAAACATTCTCAGAGACGTGAGTAGCCTAGTCTGCATCACCCAGTTTCTTCTCTAACTCATAACTACAAGCTATGTTGGTATTATATAGCCAGTTGTTTTACCAAATAATAATGTTTGTCATATTATTAGTGTGGGGTTGCGTCTTTAATTTAGGTATTCGACAAATTTAGTGGACTGTATGCTGGACTTCTTAAAACACAATCCCACAGTGCGGGGGTAATTTAATTTACATTTGGTTACATTAAGATTATCTAGTGTTTTATATTAATTAAGTTTGTTGCTTCAATCTGAACTAGCAACAATAGTTTATTGTACTTGAGTATTTAGATGTAATGATTAGAGTTAATTATTTATTAATTTGCTAAAACCGTAAATTATCTTGATTGTTAGTTAATAAATTATAAACATCTTAGCTGTTTTGAAGATCCGTAGCCTAGAGTTTCTTTAGTTCATTTATTATGCACCCCATATCCATCCTGTGTGCGGTGGTGGAAAGTTAGAGGCACATAATGGGCTCAGGGACTGAACCGCACAGTTCACTTAGTTAAGCAAATTACAGGATGTGAGAATCACACAGTCCGTGGCTAGGGCCGACCTTCTGGTTAATGGCAGCCTCCAGGGATTTTTTTTTTGTTTTTGTTTGAGGCGTTGACTCCTCTTCAGTCGGAAAATTCTTCATTAAATTGTAAAATCACACATTGGTTATATAATGAACAATCACAGATTTTATCAATGTTTGACTTTAATTTACAGTTAAGGGATTGTTAGCTTACTTTGACTTTGGTTTAATCCCTCAGCCTAACCACCTCACTTTCAACACCCTATATACTCAAAAAATTGCCAAATTTTAGGCTGGATATGGTTTATGGGCTATTCATGCCCGTGCCACCTTTTGGGTGGCTTCATCTTTATCAACCAATCTAAATTTTAGGCACTGGGGGAAGGAATACTTAACAGTAGTGAGAGGGAACCAGTATAGTTGTTCAGAATAAGGTTATTCAACAGTTGGGCAACTATTGCAAGTTATTGTTTTCTTTACGAAGTGTGACAGCGACGTGTTGGGTATCCGTATGCCATGTGATTAATGGCCGACCCTCTTTCCCGCAACTCTCGACTTGTTAATCAGTGCGAAGGTTAATAGTAAATTAGGAGTAGTCGCTAAATTCTTGTGAACTGAAAAATCGAATTAACATTATTAAATCAAAATACGTAATAAGCGTTAGTTGTAATTGCAAAGTCCACACCATTATTTATTTGTGAGTTAATAGAACTACTACAGTTCCTTTATTGTCTCATGGAGGCAAGATGGGTTGAGGCTGTTAAACAATTATTGCATCAGCTCAACTTATCAGTTAACTTGAAATAATTAGTGTAACAGATGACAGGTCTTCATATTTAATTTTGATAAGTGAAATTTAATTTTAATAAGTGAAATTTAATTTGAATCAGTGAAATTTAATTTGAATAAGTGAAATTTATTTTGAATAAGTGAAATTTAATTTGAATAAGTGAAATTTAATATTGTTATAATTGAATTTTTTTTGCTCTTAAGTGGGAGAATATATAAATTTTCCCACAACTAATAATACATTTTCAAATATATAAATTGTTCGTCATTATTCCATCTTTACGACATTCATCTCAGGAAAATGTGCTGCCAAATGTGTAATTGTTCATGCAAGGATGTTGTTGTTTAAGAGTTAGCTACTCAGAACAAAATGTCCATGTAGCACTGGCTATAGTGAGCACGTAAATCATGCAAGGATGTTGTTGTTATAGATTCAGCTACTTGGAACAAGTTCCAAGTAGCACGGGCTATGGTGAGCCCGTAGTGAACTTACCTGGCACAGGAGCGGTGCTGTGCATGCAAGGAGTAGTACAGATAACTTATAGGTACCCATGAAAGGTGTAAGAACCAAGCTACAGTTAGTGACTGAAGAGCAGGAAGGAACTTTTAGCCACCTTGTAGAGAACAATGCCATTTGAGGATATGACATTTTTTTCAAAGATATATGGTCGACCTCGAACTGTGCTAAGACATGCAGCTTTACGATAATAATAATAATAATAACAATGAGAGAATCAGCAGGAGCCATGAGGAGGATTCGAACTTGCACACTGGGTGCTTCCAAGCATACGCCTTAAACCATATAGTCTACGATATGCTACAAAAGTAATGTAACCTGGGATTCAGCTGAATCCTCTAGGGTTTCTGAGACATCTCCTGATCCTACATCAGGGTTTTGCACATTACCTGCATATACACTCTGGCGGTGGTATAGTTCTACCCTGAACACTTCTCTTCAAATGCACAAAGAAATCACATTAACGTGATGTATCAATGAGAAAATTAGTAGGAGCCATGAGAAGGATTCGAACCTACACACTAGATACTCCCAAACACCCCCCTGAACCACTTGAGGAATTGACAGGGTGAACAAAGACGAACGAGAATGTCGTGTTCCACTCACTAGCATGGGTGGAACACGAACAAGGAAAGGGAAGGCAACTACCAGGAGAAAGCGACAAGCCATTATGACTACTGTATATGGCACTTGGAAAGGATCAGGATAAGGATTTGGGATGGGACTGTGGATGGGAATGGGATGGGGGAAGTAATGGAGCCTAACCATTTGGACGGTCGGGATTGAACGCCGACCTGAATGAAGGGAGACTGCATATACACTCTGGCGGTGGTATAGTTCTACCCCCAACACTTCTCTTTAAATGCACAAAGAAATCACATTAACGTGATGTATCAGTAGACGGTAGACCGTCGCTCTACCGTCCAGCTCAGGTAAGATAATTATCAGGAGAGTGCGCTAAGCCATTACAACTATATAGGACATGATAAGAACACGAACAAGGGGACACAGGTGGAAACTGAGTACCCACATGAACCACAGAGACATTAGACAGAATTTGTTCAGTGTCAGAGTAGTTAACAGATGGAATGTATTAGGCAGTGATGTGGTGGAGGCTGACTCCATGCACAGTTTCAAATGTAGATATGATAGAGCCCAGTAGGCTCAGGAATCTGTACACCAGTTGATTGACAGTTGAGAGGCGGGACCAAAGAGCCGACGACCAATCCCCGCCAGCACATGTAGGCGAGTAGTAGGCCATGATATGCTACAAAATTAATGTTACCTGGGACTGAGCTGAATCCTCTAGGACGTGTCTAACAGCCTAGTTGATCAGTCCAGCAACCAGGAGGCCTGGTCGACGACCGGGCTGCGGGGACGCTAAGCCCCGGAAGCACCTCAAGGTAACCTCAAGGTAACGTGTGCTTGGGAGTATCTATTGTGCAGGTTCGAATCCTCCTCATAGCTCCTACTCATTTTCTCAGTGATACGTCATGTTAATGTGATGTCTATGTGCAATAATAATAATAATAATAATAACCGCTTCTAGCAACTAGACCGCTACACAGACCACGACTTACCACGTCGTGGTCTAGTGGCTAGAAGCGTGTGCGTGGGAACACCCACCACATAGGTTCGAACCCTCATCACGGCTTCTACAGATTTTCTCATTGATAAAGACACGTTAGTGTGATTACTCTCTGTGAATAATAATACTAATACTAATAATAGTAATATAAGGGTCCCGATAGTACAGTCGGGTTTGTTTTCGACTCACAATCGACAATTCCAGTTTCGAATCCCTGGCGGGACAGAAATGGTTGGGCGCATTTCCTGTTCACCTAGCTGTATGTAAGTCGGTACCCAGGCGTTTGATTCTTGTGGGGCTACCTAATGCGGAGAGGGGGGTCAATAATTCAACCCTTACATTCACCTAGTTGTGCTTGCAGGGGTTGAGCTCTGGCTTTCGGCCCGCCTCTCAACTGCCAGTCAAATGATTTTTCACACACACACACACACACACACACACACACACACACACACACACACACACACACACACACACACACACACACACACACACACACACACACACATTGTGCGAGGAGCCTATGCCATGCTTTCTAACTTCAGAATTGCTTTTAAATACATGGGTGGCGATATACTAAAGAAATTGTTCACGACTTTTGTTAGACCAAAGCTAGAATATGCAGCAGTTGTGTGGTGCCCATATCTTAAGAAGCACATCAACAAACTGGAAAAGGTGCAAAGACATGTTACTAAGTGGCTCCCAGAACTGAAAGGCAAGAGCTACGAGGAGAGGTTAGAGGCATTAAATATGCCAAAACTAGAAGACAGAAGAAAAAAGAGATGATATGATCACTACATGCAAAATAGTAACAGGAATTGATAAAATCGATAGGGAAGATTTCCTGAGACCTGGAACTTTGAGAACAAGAGGTCATAGATTTAAACTAGCTAAACACAGATGCCGAAGAAATATAAGAAAATTCACTTTCGCAAACAGAGTGGTAGACGGTTGGAACAAGTTAGGTGAGAAGGTGGTGGAGGCCAAGACCGTCAGTAGTTTCAAAGCGTTATATGACAAAGAGTGCTGGGAAGACGGGACACCACGAGCGTAGCTCTCATCCTGTAACTACACTTAGGTAATTACACACACACACACACACACACACACACACACACACACACACACACACACACACACACACACACACACACACACACACACACACACACACAATTTAAGCAATAAAATAACCAATAAAGCAAGTGAACTGGCAGAAATGGCGCAGGAAGAAAACCCTGATGTAATAGGACTCACGGAAACAAAATTGTCAAGAGTCATAATAGACGCTGTGTTTCCAAAGGACTACTATATAGTAAGGAAAGAGAGGGAAGGGAGAGAAGGTGGAGGAGTGACCCTGCTGATAAGGAAGGACTGGAGTTTTGATGAGATGGAAATTCCAGGATGTGACGGGTTCAGAGATTACATAACAGGAACTATAACAATGGGTGGACCTAAGACAATAGTGGCAGTCATTTACAATCCTCCACTAAATGACAGAAGACCCAGACAGGAGTTTGATTGGAACATGGCAACCAATAATATAATAGAGAGAGCAGCTTCAGTTGCCTGCAGGAATGGTTCCAGACCCTTAATCATGGGCGATTTCAACCATGGAAAGATAGACTGGGAGAATAGGGACCAATATGGAGGTGCAGATACATGGAGAGCTAAACTCTTGGAAGTGGCAACAAGGAATTTTCTGAGCCAACATGTCAGGGTACCCACAAGAATGAGAGGCAATGACGAACCAGCTAGACTCGACCTGATATTCACCTTGAATGAGTCAGAAATAAGGGAAGTCAAATTTAAAGCCCTCATAGGAATGAATGACCATAATGTATTGACATTTGAGTATCTGGTGGAGGTAGGGATAACCTATCCAAGGATGGGATCGGAAGGGAAAAGACTAAATTACCGAAGAGAAAAATATGAGGAGATGAGGAACTTCCTAATGGGAATACCATGGGAAACAGAACTCAGAGAGAAGACTGCAGAAGATATGATGGATTATGTCACCCAGAAGTGCCAGGAAGCTGCAGACAGGTTTATCCCGGTCCAAAAGGAGAAAAACGAAAAGCAACAGAAGAATCCATGGTTCATCCAGGAATGTAAGGTAGCGAAGCAATTGCGTAAAAGAACATGGAGAAACTACAGGAATAACAGAACACCAGAGAGCAGGGAGAGATACCAGAGGGCCAGAAATGAGTACCTCAGATTGAGGACAGAAGCAGAGAGACAGTATGAAAATGATATCGCAAGTAAAGCTAAGACCAAAGCAAAACTGCTCCACCGCCACATCCGGAGGAAAACAACGGTAAAGGAACAAGTGACGAAACTGAGAAAAGGGCAGAATAGATACACAGAGAATGTCAAGGTGTGTGAAGAACTCAACAAGAGATTCCAGGAGGTCTTCACACACAAAAGAACAAGGAGAAGCCCCTGCACTAAATGAGGAGAAGGCAAGCCAATTAACAACCTTGGAGGAATTTGACCTCAACAGTGATAAGGTCGAAAGGTGTCTGTTGGAGCTGAATGTGACAAAGGCTGTTGGGCCTGACAGAATCTCATCGTGGATACTAAAAAAAGGCGCAGAAGCACTAAGTATGCCACTCTCTATGGTGTATAACAGGTCACTGGAAACGGGAGACCTATCGGAAAGCTGGAAGACAGCTAATGTAGTCCCAATATACAAAAAGGGTGACAGGCAAGAGGCACTGAACTCCAGGCCAGTGTCCTTAACTTGTATACCATGCAAGGTGATGGAGATCGTGAGGAAAAGACTCGTTGACCATCTGAAGGGAAATAGCTTTGTGACACACCAACAGCATGAGTTCAGTGATGGTAAATCGTGTCTCACAGGTTTAATATAATTCCAAGGAACAAAAATTAGGCAAGAAAGAGAAGGTGGGCAGACTGCATTTTCTTGGATTGTCAGGAAGCCTTTGACACAGTACCCCATAAAAGGGTGTTACAAACGTTGGAGCAACAGGCAGGAGAAAAAGGTAAGGTGCTCCAGTGGATAAGGGAGTATCTAAGCAACTGGAAACAACGAGTAACTCACCGCTCATGTGCCAGGTAAGTCTACTACGGGCTCACCATAGCCCGTGCTACTTGGAATTTGTTCCGAGTAGCTGAATCTATAACAACAACAACAACGAGTAGCTGTGAGAGGGGAGACATCAGAGCGGCAAGATGTCACCAGCGGAGTCCCACAGGGCTTTGTATTTGGACCCATCCCGGCGTTTCTAATATACGTAAACGATCTTCTAGAGGGTAACAAAAGGATATCTTCAGCGGCATATGCTAGACTGGCCAACATAAGAACTGCCTTTAGAAACTTGTGTAAGGAATCGTTCAGGACCCTGTATACCACTTATGTCAGACCAATCCTGGAATATGCAGCTCCAGCCTGGAGTCCATACCTAGTTAAACACAAGACAAAGTTAGAGAAGATTCAGCTTTATGCCACCAGACTCGTCCCGGAACTGAGAGGAATGAGCTACGAGGAAAGGCTAAAGGAGCCAAACCTCACGTCCCTGGAAAACAGAAGAATAAGGGAAGACATGATAACCACCTACAAAATTCTCAGGGGAATTGACAGGGTGGACAAAGACAAACGCTTCAGCACGGGTGGGACACGAACAAGGGGACACAGGTGGAAACTTAGTACCCACATGAGCCACAGAGACGTTAGAAAGAATTTGTTCGGTGTCAGAGTAGTTAACAGATGGAATGCACTAGGAGGTGATGTGGTGGAGGCTGACTCCATACACAGTTTCAAATATAAGTATGATAGAGCCCAGTAGGCTCGGGAATATGTACACCAGTTGATTGACGGTTGAGAGGCGGGACCAAAGAGTCAAAGCTCAACCCCCGCAAGCACAACTAGGTGAGTACACACACACACACACATATCCCCAGGAAGCAGCACGTAGCAGCTGTCTAACTCCCAGGTACCTATTTACTGCTAGGTAACAGGGGCATCAAGGTGAAAGAAACTCAGCCCATTTGTTTCCGCCATCGCCGGGAATCGATCCCCGGACTCTAGGATTACGAAACCCGAGCGCTGTCCACTCATCCACCAGGGCCCCCTCGTGGCTGAGGGGGCCTGTGCGGGGGGGGGGGGGGGCTTAGGCATGGGGGGGGGACCTCAATATAAGCCTAACATGTACGGTATGTATAATCTGGCTGCCTGTCCCCCGACACAATGAATTGTTCTTAAAACGCAAAGCACATCATGTAAGTCTGAATGTTTATTAATGTGTTTCATAAATATACGTGAAGTAAGAAGGTTGTGGTGTTGGACAGGTGGATATCAACACCACCTTCGTGGGCACCAGCAGTGTCAACACCAGGATCACCCCCCTCGAGCAGGAGTCTCCAGTCTGCTCCTCGGCCGAGACGCTCATCTTCCCCAAGCGCGGCAAGACCTCCAAGAATGACTGGGTCTTTGTGGTCAACCAGGACAATGTCCAGCAGGCTCTGAGGGTGGAGAAGTGCATCAAGTAAGTGCTCCAGCAGGCTCTGAGGGTGGAGAAGTGTATCAAGTAAGTGCTCCAGCAGGCTCTGAGGTTGGAGAAGTGCATCAAGTAAGTGCTCCAGCAGGCTCTGAGGGTGGAGAAGTGTATCAAGTAAGTGCTCCAGCAGGCTCTGAGGGTGGAGAAGTGTATCAAGTAAGTGCTCCAGCAGGCTCTGAGGGTGGAGAAGTGCATCAGGTAAGTGCTCCAGCAGGCTCTGAGGGTGGAGAAGTGTATCAAGTAAGTGCTCCAGCAGGCTCTGAGGGTGGAGAAGTGCATCAGGTAAGTGCTCCAGCAGGCTCTGAGGGTGGAGAAGTGCATCAGGTAAGTGCTCCAGCAGGCTCTGAGGGTGGAGAAGTGCATCAGGTAAGTGCTCCAGCAGGCTCTGAGGGTGGAGAAGTGCATCAGGTAAGTGCTCCAGCAGGCTCTGAGGGTGGAGAAGTGCATCAGGTAAGTGCTCCAGCAGGCTCTGAGGGTGGAGAAGTGCATCCAGTAAGTGCTCCAGCAGGCTCTGAGGGTGGAGAAGTGCATCAGGTAAGTGCTCCAGCAGGCTCTGAGGGTGGAGAAGTGCATCCAGTAAGTGCTCCACAAAATGCACCATATCAATCTTTTTTATGAATATTCATGAGTTTATTTGAGCCCACCTGCTGATGATTGGATTCATCAACACAATCACTTATTACTTTACCACAGCTGCATGTGCACGTTCACTTGCAACTTTACTGCAGCTGCATTCCCACATTCAGTAGTCAGCGCAGTGGGGTTCACAACAAGTTAATTTATTATGCACCCCATACCCATCTTGTGGTCGGTAGTGGAAAGGGTTACAGAGGCACATAATGGGCTCAGGGACTGAACTCCACAATTTATTTTGCTAAGCAAGTTACAATCTTGATGCAGGCGATGAGTCACAATAATCTCAATCGACTTGAGAATTCTCAATCGATCATACCATTCCATTCCTGGACCATTCTCAATCGACTTGAGAATGATCCAGGACGGACCGAAACGTCGTCGTCCCTTCACCTTCTAGTGTGTGGTCTGGTCTACAATCTTGATGAGCTAGTTACAAAATTCAGTATAAGTCGTTACATCATCAATGGGTTCGAAATCGACCACAAGTACAGTTTCTAAATTAAGCAACTGACATATGTGGAGAGTTAGTGTCACAATTGATATGTTTGTCCTGCACACCGCCCCCCATCCAGTGGGCAGCGGTGGATAGGTTACAGTCTCTTAGTTACTACCTACAGTTAGCAAACTGGCGATATACGACTAAAATTTCTGGTAGCAGATCATTTTGAATTAAATATTTACACATCGCTGGAACATTTGTTATAGAATTGTCTCTGAATTCACGTATCTTTTCGCACTCCATCACATAGTGACGGAGGGTGTGCGAATAACTTTTTTGACACAGTTTACATTTGGTCAGGTCTACATCAGCAGATAATAAGAATTCACGGAGATACTGGTAACCGAGTCTAAGCCGAGCAGTAGTAACATCTAGAAGTCTGCTGATTTTATTGGATGAACCATAGATGTGTGGCTCCTCTTGCATGATAGTATGATGGTAGATGGAATTACTGGTGTCGATTTTACTTTGCCTCAGATCTACAAGATTTTGTTGAAGTTCTTGGTGTACTATTGGTCTCAAACGAAGGTCCCGGATTAAGTTTCCGCGGTAAGATAGAGACATTTAACCATTTTCCCTTTCACCTGATGCCTCCTTTTCACTAATCAGTTACGGTAATAGGTTTCCAGGACTATTAATTCAACTGCTGTGGGTTGTATCAGTTTATAAACACGGTGCCATATTAAGAAACTGCAATTTTATCGCTATTATGTGATTATTTCACACCCGAGAACAATTCCGTAGGCCGTATATATTATTTCCGCACGTGTTAGCCGGAGGCAGCGTAGCCGGGGGCTGGAGGCAGCGTGGCCGGGGGCGGGAGGCAGCGTGGCCGGGGGCAGGAGGCAGCGTGGCCGGGGGCTGGAGGCAGCGTGGCCGGGGGCTGGTGGCAGCGTGGCCGGGGCTGGAGGCAGCGTGGCCGGGGGCTGGAGGCAGCGTGGCCGGGGGCTGGAGGCAGCGTGGCCGGGGGCTGGAGGCAGCGTAGCCGGGGGCTGGAGGCAGCGTGGCCGGGGGCTGGAGGCAGCGTAGCCGGGGGCTGGAGGCAGCAGCGTGGCCGGGGGCTGGAGGCAGCGTGGCCGGGGGCTGGTGGCAGCGTGGCCGGGGGCTGGAGGCAGCGTGGCCGGGGGCTGGAGGCAGCGTGGCCGGGGGCGGGAGGCAGCGTGGCCGGGCACAGGAGGCAGCGTGGCCGGGGCACAGGAGGCAGCGTGGCCGGGGGCGGGAGGCAGCGTGGCCGGGGGCGGGAGGCAGCGTGGCCGGGGGCGGGAGGCAGCGTGGCCGGGGGCGGGAGGCAGCGTGGCCGGGGGCGGGAGGCAGCGTGGCCGGGGGCTGGTGGCAGCGTGGCCGGGGGCTGGAGGCAGCGTGGCCGGGGGCGGGAGGCAGCGTGGCCGGGGACAGGAGGCAGCGTGGCCGGGGGCGGGGGGGAGGCAGCGTGGCCGGGGGCTGGAGGCAGCGTGGCCGGGGGCGGGAGGCAGCGTGGCCGGGGGCTGCGGGAGGCAGCGTGGCCGGGGGCTGGAGGCAGCGTGGCCGGGGGCGAGGCAGCGTGGCCGGGGGCTGGAGGCAGCGTGGCCGGGGGCTGGAGGGGAGGCAGCGTGGCCGGGGGAGGCAGCGTGGAGGCAGCGTGGCCGGGGGCTGGTGGCAGCGTGGCCGGGGGCGTGGCCGGGGGCTGGAGGCAGCGTGGCCGGGGGCTGGTGGCAGCGTGGCCGGGGGGGGGCGTGGCCGGGGGCGGGAGGCAGCGTGGCCGGGAGGGGGGGCTGGAGGCAGCGTGGCCGGTGGGGCGGGAGGCAGCGTGGCCGGGGGCTGGAGGCAGCGTGGCCGGGAGGGGGGCGGGAGGCAGCGTGGCCGGGGGCTGGAGGCAGCGTGGCCGGGGGCTGGAGGCAGCGTGGCCGGGGGCTGGAGGCAGCGTGGCCGGGGGCGGGAGGCAGCGTGGCCGGGGGCTGGGGGCAGCGTGGCGGGGGGCGGGAGGCAGCGTGGCCGGGGGTTGGAGGCAGCGTGGCCGGGGGCGGGAGGCAGCGTGGCCGGGGGCGGGAGGCAGCGTGGACCGGGGGCGGGAGGCAGCGTGGCCGGGGGCTGGTGGCAGCGTGGCCGGGGTGCGGGAGGCAGCGTGGCCGGGGGCTGGAGGCAGCGTGGCCGGGGGCGGGAGGCAGCGTGGCCGGTGGCGGGAGGCAGTGTGGCCGGGGGCTGGAGGCAGCGTGGCCGGGGGCTGGAGGCAGCGTGGCCGGGGGCTGGAGGCAGCGTGGCCGGGGGCTGGAGGCAGCGTGGCCGGGGGCGGGAGGCAGCGTGACCGGGGGCTGGTGGCAGCGTGGCCGGGGGCTGGTGGCAGCGTGGCCGGGGGCGGGAGGCAGCGTGGCCGGGGGCGGGAGGCAGCGTGGCCGGGGGCGGGAGGCAGCGTGGCCGGGGGCGGGAGGCAGCGTGGCCGGGGGCGGGAGGCAGCGTGGCCGGGGGCGGGAGGCAGCGTGGCCGGGGGCTGGAGGCAGCGTGGCCGGTGGCGGGAGGCAGTGTGGCTGGTGGCGGGAGGCAGCGTGGCCGGGGGCTGGAGGCAGCGTGGCCGGTGGCGGGAGGCAGCGTGGCAAGTGGCGGGAGGCAGCGTGGCCGGGGGCGGGAGGCAGCGTGGCCGGGGGCGGGAGGCAGCGTGGCCGGGGGCTGGAGGCAGCGTGTCCGGGGGCTGGAGGCAGCGTGGCCGGGGGCTGGAGGCAGCGTGGCCGGGGGCTGGAGGCAGCGTGGCCGGGGGCTGGAGGCAGCGTGGCCGGGGGCGGGAGGCAGCGTGGCCGGGGGCTGGAGGCAGCGTGGCCGGGGGCGGGAGGCAGCGTGGCCGGGGGCGGGAGGCAGCGTGGCCGGGGGCGGGAGGCAGCGTGGCCGGGGGCTGGAGGCAGCGTGGCCGGGGGCGGGAGGCAGCGTGGCCGGGGGCGGGAGGCAGCGTGGCCGGGGGCAGGAGGCAGCGTGGCCGGGGGCGGGAGGCAGCGTGGCCGTGGGGGGCGGGAGGCAGCGTGGCCGTGGCCGGGGGCTGGTGGCAGCGTGGCGGGGGCGGGGGCTGGCAGGCAGCGTGGCCGGGGGCGGGAGGCAGCGTGGCCGGGGGCTGGAGGCAGCGTGGCCGGGGGCGGGAGGCAGCGTGGCCGGGGGCTGGAGGCAGCGTGGCCGGGGGCTGGAGGCAGCGTGGCCGGGGGCGGGAGGCAGCGTGGCCGGGGGCTGGAGGCAGCGTGGCCCTGGGGGGCTGGTGGCAGCGTGGCCGGGGGATGGCCGGGGGCTGGGCAGCGTGGCCGGGGGCTGGTGGCAGCGTGTGGCCGGGGGCTGGTGGCAGCGTGGCCGGGGGCTGGAGGCAGCGTGGCCGGGGGCGGGAGGCAGCGTGGCCGGGGGCTGGAGGCAGCGTGGCCGGGGGCGGGAGGCAGCGTGGCCGGGGGCTGGAGGCAGCGTGGCCGGGGGCTGGAGGCAGCGTGGCCGGGGGCGGGAGGCAGCGTGGCCGGGGGGGGGCGGGAGGCAGCGTGGCCGGGGGCGGGAGGCAGCGTGGCCGGGGGCTGGTGGCAGCGTGGCCGGGGGCTGGAGGCAGCGTGGCCGGGGGCGGGAGGCAGCGTGGCCGGTGGCGGGAGGCAGCGTGGCCGGGGGCTGGAGGCAGCGTGGCCGGGGGCTGGAGGCAGCGTGGCCGGGGGCTGGAGGCAGCGTGGCCGGGGGAGGCAGCGTGGCCGGGGGCGGGAGGAAGCGTGACCGGGGGCTGGTGGCAGCGTGGCCGGGGGCTGGTGGCAGCGTGGCCGGGGGCGGGAGGCAGCGTGGCCGGGGGGGGGGGAGGCAGCGTGGCCGGGGGCGGGAGGCAGCGTGGCCGGGGGCTGGAGGCAGCGTGGCTGGTGGCGGGAGGCAGCGTGGCCGGGGGCAGGAGGCAGCGTGGCCGGGGGCTGGAGGCAGCGTGGCGGGTGGCGGGAGGCAGCGTGGCTGGTGGCGGGAGGCAGCGTGGCCGGGGGCTGGAGGCAGCGTGGCCGGGAGGCAGCGTGGCCGGTGGCGGGAGGCAGTGTGGCTAGTGGCGGGAGGCAGCGTGGCCGGGGGCGGGAGACAGCGTGGCCGGGGGCTGGAGGCAGCGTGGCGTGGCCGGGGCGGGAGGCAGCGTGGCCGGGGGCTGGAGGCAGCGTGGCCGGGGGCGGGAGGCAGCGTGGCCGGGGGCAGGAGGCAGCGTGGCCGGGGGCTGGAGGCAGCGTGGCCGGGGGCTGGAGGCAGCGTGGCCGGGGGCTGGAGGCAGCGTGGCCGGGGGCTGGAGGCAGCGTGGCCGGGGCTGGAGGCAGCGTGGCCGGGGGCTGGAGGCAGCGTGGCCGGGGGCTGGTGGCAGCGTGGCCGGGGGCGGGAGGCAGCGTGGCGGGAGGGGGGGCGGGAGGCAGCGTGGCCGGGGGCTGGAGGCAGCGTGGCTGGTGGCGGGAGGCAGCGTGGCCGGGGGCAGGAGGCAGCGTGGCAGGGGGCTGGAGGCAGCGTGGCTGGGGCGGGAGGCAGCGTGGTGGCAGCGTGGCCGGGGGCGGGAGGCAGCGTGGTGGGGGCGGGAGGCAGCGTGGCCGGGGGCTGGAGGCAGCGTGGCTGGTGGCGGGAGGCAGCGTGGCCAGGGGCGGGAGGAAGCGTGGCCGGGGGCTGGTGGCAGCGTGGCCGGTGGCGGGAGGCAGCGTGGCCGGTGGCGGGAGGCAGTGTGGCTGGTGGCGGGAGGCAGCGTGGCCGGGGGCTGGAAGCAGCGTGGCAGGGGGCTAGAGGCAGTGTGGCAGGGGGCTGGAGGCAGCGTTGCAGAGGGCAAGAGCAGCGAGACGACACATTTGTTCTTTGTTTTTCTTTCTTTGATCATTTGTCTTTCTACGGTTTGGTTGGATATATTTACTGCAACTCCCACTTGTGTGACTTTCAAAGATTGGTGGAATCCTAACTCCTCGGTACTTTTCATTATCAAGCTGCTGCCTGGTAGTGTTCTTGATATGTTAGTTGCAAAGAGCATTATTATGCCTACATTTTCGATATTAAAAAGTATATACCAGTCTTCTGACCATTTGTGGAGTTCGAGTATATCACTTTGTTATGTAGGGCATAACAGTACACATTACAACTATCAAATCAACAATACTACCTAGCAGCAGAATGAAGAAAATGTCCTAGACGTTAGGATTCACCAGTCACTGAAAATTGCACAGCATGTGTGAGCTGCGGTAAAAAAAAAAAAAAAAAAACTAACGAAGCTTTAAGAATAGTCAAACGAACCTTTGACTCCAAGGAAAATGGTAATTACACAATACTGAGCTGTACAAGTCCCTGGTGCTCTGCCATTTGGACTACTGTATCCAAGCATAGAGATCTTATCTTCAGAAAGACATATCTGCTGTGGAGAAAGTTCAGCACAGAGCGACAAAAATCATCCCAGAGCCAAGTCGACTCTCATACCAGGAACGGTTGAGGGTCACAGGGCTACCAACACTGCATACCAGACATGACAGGGCGGATCTCATCAAAACTTTTAAAATGCTGAACAAGTTGGAGAATATTAATCCAGGTCACTTTGTTAAAAGGCCAAATGCAACACAAAGATGAACGGTTTCAAGCTCAACAAGTGACGATGGCGAACATGAAGTAGATGCTTTTTTAACCCCCTGGGGTTATATATTTATAGTAAAGTAGGAAATAAAAATGATACTGAGGCCTTACAGATGGACATACATGAACTCCTCAAATGGCCAGAAGACTGGTGACAAGTCTTTTTTTTTAGGCAAACGCCTCTCAAAGGTTAATATCGAAAAATGTAAGACCTTTCATGTGGAGCATAACAACCCACATAACAACTGCAAAATTAACATTACCTTGCAGCAGATTGATGAAGAAAAGAACCTTGAAGTCAGAATCCACAAATCACTGAAAGTTTCATAACAAGTGGGAGCTGAAGTAAGAAAAAAAAATCCTGGGAATAGTCAGACGTAACCAACACCGGGAGACAATAATTATCCCAGAACTAAGTCGACTCTCGTACCAGGAGCCGTTGAGGGCATCAGGGCTTCCAACACTACAAACCAGACAAGACAGGGCGAATATCATCGAAACTTAAAATATTGAACAACTTGGGGGATATTGATCCAGAACATTTCTTCAAAAGGTCAGATGTAACACAAACAAAGAACAACGGTTTCAAGCTCAACAAGCCACAATAAAGGACAGAAAACAGAAGATGCTTTTTCACCAACAGGGTTATAAACCCATGGAACCGCCTACCCGCTGAAGTCATAAATGGCTAAACCCTGATACAATTTAAGATCCATATAAATAAAATAATCAGGATAAATGGGGGACTCTTGACAAACCGCCGGCTTACTGTCCTTGTCGAGGCCACTCGAGAGATAGTGGCCCCTCAGGTAAAGTGTTTGGAATCGCCTGTCCATCGAAACCATAAATGCCAAGGCATTCCTTGAGGTTAAAATCCAAGTGTAAAAAATCCTCGTGAACAAAGGAGGGGACCCTTGATAACCTGCTGGCTTCCTGTCCCCGCCGGGCCATTAGGGAGATAGTGGCCTTCAGATAACTTCAGGAGGCATTGAACCCTAAAAATCCATGCATGAAGCACAGCACAGGAAAAGAACAGACAGATCCCCGAAACAGCGAGAACAATGCCAGGAAGGTCTAGGAGCCCAGCCCCAACAAGAACAGGAGACTCAAACAACTAGGAACACAACATGGGCCGGGGCACCTCCGCCACACCCTGCCAACCACAGCCAAGCGTCAGGGCAATTGCTCACTAGGCCAAAAGAACTGATAAAGGCTAGACATCCCACAGCAGCCCTGGATTAACCATTAAGCACAATAAGCACGTGTTTAGGGCCTCAAGTAAAGGGGGGACCCATGAAGTTTTTTGCCTGTGCGGGATTTACAATGGACCATGGTGCAGTGTTGCAGATGGGCCACGGCCCATAAAATAGCGGCCCCCATAATAAATGGAAAAAGAATATTAATATTAATATAATAATAGCACACTATATATCTTCAAAGCAAGAAAGCAATGGAATAGTAATTTTTGTTTTCTTTTAAATAATGTATTTATTCATGGGAATATATATACAGTATATTACAATTCACTGTGTTTCTTATTTGGAGTTTTATATACGGCATATGGGGGTCCCAAAATCTTTTCAGTGATTAGGGCCTCTAAGCACTGAAAATCTGGCCCTGCCCCACAGCAATGGGCTGACGGAAAACCGACCAGCGCCGCTTTGAAGTGAGGTACATAAAGCAGACGACCTGAAACCGTCAAAGACCCAAGAAGATACAGCAAAGAGAAAACACATTAGCAAACATAAGCAATCCAGAATGGCAAGAGGCATGGACTGGAATGCAATAGCAAAAGCCCTAAGAAGGGGAACTACTGCCAGCCAAACAAAAACCGAGACCAGAACGAATCCTAAAGGAAGGAACCAGTCAAAAAACCTCATTTTGGGATTTTTCGCGTCTCCCACTGCTCTTTGAGGTAATTTTTTTTGTAGTAAGCTCCCTGTAGGTGCGTTTCTGGGTGTCGGTAAGTCTCTCATCTGCGTCTTTTCTACAGGTTTCCGTTGTTTTGTCTTTCCTAGGCTCCTGTGGCGGCGGACGCTGTGATTCCTGCTACAGATTTGAGACCTCTTTAGAGTTCGCCTCCTTAGAATTCGAGTCTGAGTTTTCCTCTTGGCTGACGTTTGCAGACCCGTTCTCCTCCTGGCTTCCAAACTTGTTCCGTTGTCGTTAGTGACTTGACTCACCGGTTCTGCTCCAGGTTGTGAGCATTTGACAGCTTATGTGTGCCTTTGTGTTCTGTCGCTTCGTTTCCGTAGGTCCGTTGGAAGAGCCCAGGGATTCAAATTTCCGTCTGAATTACCCAGAGATTCCGAATTAGTAAGCTCTTACTGTACACTATATTTCCATCATATACTTTTCAGTTTTGTGACATTTATGCAGCAAACCAGATAAGTATGGCCGTGGTGTAGCAATTATTTCCTTCCCAATTTCATTTCAAACTTTGAATTTTCTCAAATATGTTACCATATGAATTTTTATACTGATATGCTCATTCTTTCTTATATGTTACTTTTGATAACATTAAAACTGGATAAGTTGTTGTATTCCTCAGTGAAGGAGAATCCTGCAACTTCGGGATGCCACTTCAGGGGAATACAATAGCAGTGTGTCGCCAGAAGTATGTGTACCGGAGGATGCTAACGGTCGGCAGCAACGACATACAGCCGGAAGAGGTCCTCATGCCCTCATGCTGCGTCTGTTATGCCAGGTGAGCAGCTTGTGTGGGTAGTATGAGCTGGATATTGTCAGTCAGTTTGGCCTCACCTGTGTCTGGCTTTTGCAGACAGCGAGGCACATTTCTAGTTCTGTTTTGGCAAATATTAACCCGGTGTACGTTAATTTTAACATACCCCGTAATTATTTTCATAATTGATGTAAGCTATACTCATGACTGAACATTTGATTAACTGTTGTTATTTTGTCAACATAGAGTCCCGGTGGTATAGTCGGGTTCGTTTTTGACTCACACTCGAGAATTCAGGGTTCGAGTCCCGGGCGGGACAGAAATAGTTCAGCATTTTCCTATCACCTAATGAGCCTGTACACCTAGCAGTAAATAGGTACCCAGGAGTTAGTCAGCTTGTTGTGGGGTTGCATCCTGGGGGAGGGGGGGGTCAGTAATTCGGCCCTATGGGGGGGGGACCTCGATATAAGCCTAACATGTATATATACAATGCTTCCTATCCCACGATACAATGAATTAAATTAAAATAAAGTATGTATATCTTCATAGCTATTACTTATTAGCAGTGATTGTCCTTGAGGTGTGTGTGTACTCACCTAATTGTACTCACCTAATTGTGCTTGCGGGGGTTGAGCTTTGGCTCTTTGGTCCCGCCTCTCAACTGTCAATCAACTGATGTACAGATTCCTGAGCCTACTGGGCTCTATCATATCTACATTTGAAACTGTGTATGGAGTCAGCCTCCCCACATCACTTCCTAGTGCATTCCATTTATTAACTACTCTGACACTGAAAAAATTCTTTCTAACGTCTCTGTGGCTCATCTGGGTACTAAGTTTCCACCTGTGTCCCCTTGTTCGTGTTCCACCCGTGCTGAAGAATTTGTCTTTATCCACCCTGTCAATTCCCCTGAGAATTTTGTAGGTGGAATTTTGTGTGTGTGTGTGTGTGTGTGTGTGTGTGTGTTTACTAGTTGTGTACTAGTTGTGTTTTTACGGGGGTTGAGCTTTGCTCTTTCGGCCCGTCTCTCAACTGTCAATCAACTGTTTACTAACTACTTTTTTTTTTTTTTTTTTTTTTTCCACACCACACACACACACACACACACCCCAGGAAGCAGCCCGTGACAGCTGACTAACTCCCAGGTACCTATTTACTGCTAGGTAACAGGGGCATTCAGGGTGAAAGAAACTTTGCCCATTTGTTTCTGCCTCGTGCGGGAATCGAACCCGCGCCACAGAATTACGTATGTGTGTGTGTGAACTCGCCTAGTTGAACTCGCCTAGTTGTGCTTGCAAGGATTAAGATTTGGCTCTTTGCCCCCTCCTCTCAACAAGTAAGTAAGTAATTATCAAAAGAAGGCACCAAACCGGGAAGGCTATGTAGCACCATCAAATACGCAAAATAATCAGAGGGCGCTAAATATCACCAAGGATGCCAATACGAGAACAAAAACGCATAAGGCGAACGATATCAAAAGTATCCGAGTCACCAAGAATTCTATCGAGGGACAGGTGACCGCGAGGGGCGGTCGGAAAGCAAGACACACGCTCGTCCTGGAAGTCAGGACATTCAAGAAGGACATGCACGACCGTAAGAGGGACAATGCAACTAGGACAATAAGGAGCAGGGCGGCGCTCCATCAAGTGACCATGGGTTAAGCGAGTATGGCCAATACGCAACCTCGCCAGAGCTGTTTCCCACCGCCGGTTACGGTGGAAGGAGGACGGCCACGAGGAAACACAACATTTAAGAGTACGTAGCTTGTTACCAGTAACAGACAACCAAGAAGCCTGCCAACGGGTAAGAACTGAGGAATGGATAACTGGGTAAAAGTCGGAATACGGAATGCCTTTACGAGAGATGGGACAAGAGCGGACAGCTTCCTTAGCGGCAGCATCCGCACGCTCATTTAAAGACACACCAATATGGCTGGGAACCCAACAAAACTCAACCGACTTAAATTTACTGTGAACGAGAAACAGCCAATGCTGGATCTCGACAACTACTGGATGAACCGGATTAAAGGACCCGAGAGCCATGAGGGCACTACGAGAGTCAACAACAACCACAAAGGAAGACTGACAACGAGAAAGCAGGAGACGAAGAGCATAGAGAATAGCATAAAGTTCTGCTGTAAAGATGCTAGTCTCCGGAGGCAAGCGACACATATAAGTGCGATCAGGAAAAACAACAGAGTAGCCAACACCGTCCGCTGACTTAGACCCATCGGTGAAGACAGAAACGGAGCGGGAGTGAGAAGAAAAGTGCTCGAGGAAAAGGCGTTTTAGAACCGTAGGAGGGGTAAAAGCTTTAGTGATACGGGTCAAGGAAGTACAAAACCGCGGAAGAGGGACCCTCCACGGGGGCAAAGAAGGAACAACACGAGGAGAAACATCAGAAATACGAACGGAGAGAGAATCCTGTAGGCGAGATAACCGGACAGAAAGAGGGAGGTGGTGAAGAGGAACAGGAACCGCAGGAGGGGTAAAAGTTAAAGCACGACAGAGGCGAGAGGAAGGATGTTGCAAGGACCGCGCAAGATAGCGAAGACAGTAGCGATCACGGCGGTCCTGGAGAGACAGGAAGCCAGTGTCAACATACAAGCTAAGGATGGGAGTCGAACGAAAGGCACCAGAACTGAGGCGCAACCCAGTATGGTGCAAAGCATCAAGACGGCGAAGAGTAGAAGGAGAAGCAGACGAGTAAGCAGGGCAACCATAATCGAGCTTAGACAGGACGAGAGAGGAATGTAAAGCAAGGAGAGTGCGCCTATCTGCCCCCCAAGAAGTATGGGACAAGACCCGAAGGAGGGTAAGGGCCTTAGAGCACTCAACACGGAGGTAAGAGATATGGGGAGACCAAGACAAACGAGTGTCAAGGAATAACCCCAAAAGCTTCGCGGAATCTTTGTATTCAAGGGGATGACCATAAAGTGACAAAGAGGGACGAAGAACAACCCGTTTCCGCGTAAAAGTCATGGCACAAGTCTTAGAAGTAGAGAACTTGAAGCCATGACCTGTGGCCCAAGACGACACGGCATCAATTGCAAGTTGAAGCCGGCGTTGAAGGAGAGGCGAATCATCACCCTGACAACAAAGGGTAAGATCATCGACATAGAGAGCGGAGAAGACACCAGAAGGAAGAGAGGAAAGAAGACCATTGAGGGCAACAAGAAAAAGAGTAGTGCTCAGAACACTACCCTGGGGCACACCTTCGTATTGCTGAAAAGAGGGAGAGAGAGCGGTACCAAGGCGCACCCGAAAGGAACGACGAGAGAGGAAGCTGCGGAGAAAGAGAGGGAGATGACCACGAAGGCCAAAAGAATGAAGTTGAGATAGGATATGATAACGCCAAGTGGTGTCGTAAGCCTTTTCTAGGTCAAAAAGGACGGCAACAACGGAGGTCTTCGCAGCAAAAGCAGTACGAATATAGACCTCCAAGTTCACCAGGACATCTGTCGTGCTGCGGCACTTGCGGAAACCAAATTGAGAAGGGGAGAGGAGGTGATGGTGTTCCAGGAACCACATCAGACGAACGTTAACCATACGTTCAAAGAGTTTGCAGACACAACTTGTGAGAGCAATAGGGCGAAAGTCCTTAGGGGAAGTACCCAGAGACCCCGGTTTGCGAACAGGGAGGACAACGGCATCGAGCCAGTCCTCAGGGACTGACGACGACTCCCAGATCCGATTATACAGACTCAGTAAATACTGAGACGTGCTCGGAGGGAGATGGCGAAGCATCTCATAATGAATACCATCGGAGCCCGCCGCCGTAGAACCGCAGAGGGCCAGGGCAGAACGAAGTTCAGAGAGAGAGAAGGGATCATTATAGGGAAGCTGAAGATGAGTGCAGAAATCTAAAGGACGAGACTCAAGGACAGGTTTACGAAGAAGGAAAGATTGGGGAAGATGAAGACCAGAGCTAACAGAAGAAAAATGGGAACCCAGTTCGGAAGCGACCTGCAACGGGTCCGCCACAAGAGTATCATGGAGGTGAAGGACCGGTGAAACATCGGGAACGAACTTACCCGCTATCTTGCGGATACGCTTCCAGATCTGGGCCAGAGGGGTCTCGGACGTAATTGTTGAGACATAAGATGCCCAACATTCACGTTTAGCCGTACGGATGGCCCTACGGGCCACCGCACTCGCTTTCCGAAAGAAAAGAAAAGAATCGGTCGTCTGCCTACGGCGGTGCCTCTTCCAGGCTGCACGCTTACAGCGGACAGCCCGAGCACAGTCCGCATTCCACCAGGGAACGCACTTCCGTGGACCCCGAGAGGAAGAGCGAGGAATAGAGCGGAGGGCAGCGTTGAAGACAGTGTCATGAAAAAGGAGGAGAGCGCGAGAGAGAGGCAGAAGGGAGAGGTCAGGGAGAGCAGCACTGAGGGTAAATAGGGTCCAGTCTGCCTTAGCAAACTGCCACCTAGGGAAAGAGAGGGAAGGGCGAAAAGAGAAAAAGGAAACAAGGATGGGGAAATGATCACTTCCATGGAGGTCATCAAGAACCTGCCACGTGAAATCTAAGTAAAGAGAAGAAGAGCAGAGAGAAAGATCAAGACAAGAAAGGGTGCGAGTCCGAGAGTCCAAATGAGTGGGCTCACCAGAATTCAGAAGAGACAGGGAAGAAGAGAGGAGAAACGGCTCAAGGAGGCGACCCCGGGTATTCGTCAGAACGTCACCCCAAAGAGAATGACGACAATTGAAGTCACCCAGCAGGAGCACAGGCTCCGGCAAGGAGTCCAGGAGGTGTTTCAAATCAGGAAGAGAGAGCGGGACACTCGGGGGGAGATAAATGGAACAAACTGTGTACCATTTCCCCACAAAGATACGAGCAGCAGAACAATGGAGAGGCGAAGGAAAAAGTAAAGGAACAAAGGGAACATCAGCCCGAATCAAAAGAGCAGAAGAATTAGAAGCCCCAGCAATGGCTGGGGGGGGGGGGGGAGAGAAAGGAATAGCCACGAAAACGACCAGGACGAGCACCAAGCATTGGCTCCTGGAGACAGACACAAAGGG